CACTCATTACATAACCTACTGGTGACATGCACAATCTACTAGCAACCTTAAAGGACATGAAGAAGTCTAGCCTAATGAACTATACCAATGTTTGGTCTAGGAACGCTCCATCGGGACCTCTGCAGCACCCAGCAGCATCCTGGTTGGCCAATCACGGCTCTCTATGGGAGTTTAAGCTATTAACAGCAAGTATGAAAAAAATGAATTTTTTTTCTTAACCACTGGTTGCAAAAATGTGAACCTTAACTCATTCACTGCCAGCCGTTTCCTGATCACTAAAGGCCTTCGCTGCCAGCGTTTCTCACCGTTTTTACTGTTTTTTTAAGAGTCACAGAACATTGCGCGCTAGGATGATGTCAATGCCAAAACAACCAAAACAAAGAGGAGACTCCCCTCTTACATCAGAAAGAATCCGCGTGTTTCGAGCATTATCCGTTCTTTCATAATCTGTTGTCAAATTGTGATCGGCAGACGCTTTTCTGGTTCACGCCTCACTTTTTTTTACAGGAACGGCCCAAAACGATTTCCTAACTCGTGGATGTTCTGCTTCCTGATCATGTGACGTGTGACGTTTGCGGATGAAGATTGCGGGGGCTCGTTCCGATGCCCAAAAACTTAAAAAAATGCAAATGATAACTTTAGTCGTCATTGGCAGTGAACGGTTAGATCTAAAATGATGACTTTAGTCATCAATGACAGTGAACGGTTAGATCTAAAATGATGACTTTAGTCATCAATGACAGTGAATGAGTTAACTGACTGCTTACATCGGAGATTTTTGATGCCGTCCAATATAATTCAACACACTGTTTTTGGGCCGATATTGAATTACTTTCGATATCGACATCGGAACGGGACATCCGTAGTTTGAACTCACAAACAACAAAAGATGTTTGGACGTAGAAAACGGTGACTACTGTTTGGCGCTCTCTCATGTCCTCTGGCAATACGTGTTCCAATTTCAGTGGACAAGGCCCAGGGACGATAACCGAAGATAACGGGGGAGTTGCGTGTTTGGGTTCCAAAGCTAGCTTGTTTGCAGAAGTGTCATTGCCGCTTTAATAGGTAATATTTATTGTAACACTGTCGATGACGGTGGAGAGACTGAAGTTCGTTGTGACCATGTTATTTTATTTTGACACTGGTAGGGCACTTGATGTGTGGGTTTTACTGAATGAGCCTGAGGTCTTCAGCAGAATGAACGATCCACCTAAATGTTGAACTGAGGTTGAGCAAGTGATGGCAACAAGATGACCAAAGGTAACCACACCAGGGGAATCCACTGTGATGTTGGGTTTGGGAAGAGCCACTGAAAAATAACAGATGGTACTTCTTGTGACATATTTCTTTAAAACTCAAGTTATTTTTTTTAAGTAATTCAAAAATTACCAGTTAACTGGATGTAGTTATTAAAAATTGAACTAAATGTGTTACTGAAACTCCTTGTTTCAAACTGACACTGGTAATGCCCTTCATCATCAAAAGTGGTTTCAAGAATTTGTAGAGTAGCTCAGCTGCTGTTGGAGTTAAGCCTATGAATGAATGAGCCTGAGGTCTTTGTGAAGATGAACATTCCTCCTAAATGCTGAATTGAGATGGAACAGGTGAGGTCAACACACTGACCCCAGGAGACCACGCCAGTAGAATCCATTATGATGTTGGGTTTTGGAAGAAGCACTAAAAACAGCACAAATGTCACATTTAATTATTTTTGTCAGTCTTATTGGTAATCATGACTTACCATTTAGCTGTATGGGATCACTAAACATGGTGCTAAAACTTTCATTAGACACTTTGATCTGAAACTGACACTGGTAACGTCCTCCATCCTCAAAGCTGACTTGAGGGAATTGGAAAGTAGCAGAGTTGCTGCTTGAGTTCAGACTCTGGCTGAATGAGCCTGAGGTCTTTGTGAAAATGAACATTCTTCCTTTCTTTGTTTCAGAGACTTAACAGGTGATGTTGACTGTCTGATGCAAGATTAGGATTACTGGTGATTTGGGGCTTCAGCTGATCTGTTGGAAAAGAAAAGACAACACTTTTATAACATCAAACTTATTTTATTTGACCCCACTGTTTGTTACTGCAAAGAAGTCTTTTTTCACTTAAAAACGTGTTTTTATTGTTATTTGATTATAATCAGTAGGGCTGACCATGAAAACAGTCTTCTGACCCTATTTCCTGCATTAGCTTCTGATTGAAAAGAGGAGGTCCAATACTAGGATTAGAAAATCCTGACAGATCTATGTCACACTGTCATTTAACGTTCATGAAGGGGAAGGCTGTTGTTGGCTTAGTGTCCAGGAAACAGCAGAGAATGTCACGGCTAATAGAAGCTAACCATTAGCATTAGCAACTCCACCACACAGCAGAGCTCCTCGAGGCTTGCGTTATTCGTGGAGATAAAACATCAACATTGCAACGCAAACGAGTCAATGGTAGAGTTGCTTTGCTCTTAGCCATTCAGAGGAGAGATGTCCAAATATCAGGAAATAAGAGTCCAAATCCTGTCATGTTCTTCCATCTCCTCATTTAGGTCCCCAAACAGGCGCACCAGAAGTTTTTTTTCCCCCCAATGAAAGGCTTTCAAGGCACTCATTCCTACCAGAGACCACTCGCTGAGATTCTGTTTGTTTTTTAAAAATGAAATTTTTGCTGATGAATTTTGAGCTAAAAAAATTCAAAATCTTTTTTTCACAGAATAAAAATGAAATGTCATATATTCTGTGTTTAAAAAGGAATAGGCACATCCACAATTATTAAAAGAGACATCTGCAAAAGGAAGAAACATCACACACACACACACACACACACACACACACACACACAGAGCATCATTTTGTTTGGCCTGGATGCAGCAAACTTGGTGAATGAGGTGAAAATGCACATTGGTGCATGGTGCCCCTTCCACACCCCAAAAATAGGTCACTGGGTGAATTAAGATCAAAACAAGTTATGATAGTAAACAATAAAAATCAAACAGGCAAGTGAACGTCTGATATTGGTTGAAGATGTTTCACCTCTCTTTAGCAGGGGCGCCTCCAGAAAAGTTTGATGGGTTGGCCAGACGAGGCCAAAGAAATTTTTGAGGTGGTACACCAAACTGGTCCTTGTGGTAACTCAGGGAGAGTTTAGCCTGTGGTTATGTATTGCATTTCTTCTTTATTCATTTTTTTAGATAAAAAAAGTATCTAAAACATTTAACTTAAATTTTATAAACACAAACATTTCAGAAACATACATTTCAGTTATTTGAAATGTCATTTCAAATTTTATTTTAAAGTGTCTGTTTTATTTTTTTATTCACCTGTTGCTGCATTCACAAAGAACTATGGAGATTAAAACTTGAGGTGGTTCTTACTCCTCACCCCTGCCACGTGGACCTCAAGGGATAAACCATTAACCCTGCTCAATGGTCAACTTTCCCATAAAGACAGTAGGATGGTTAAATGGTGAGCAGCAGAAACAGCTGTACTTTTTTATTAGGCCCGAGCAGCGAAAGTGCTGCGAATGCCTATTGTATCTGCTCTATATTTTTTCCGCCAAGTAAATTGGCTTTTTGGAGACCTTAACATACGTGAAATCTCAGGAATTTTTGCACACTTGTCAGGCGTGGTGTAAAATTTGTATTTTAAAGGTCCCAAAAAAATTGCTATAAAACTAGCTCCACAGAGCCTCCTAGAATGGGAAAAATACCCCCCTCCATAAACCTTAGTTTGTTGTACAGTTATGAAATTTTGTACACTTGTAGTACTCAACAGAATGCACAGAAAAGCCTCTTGCAACCATGGTCAACATCAAACAGGAAGTCGGCCATTTTGGTTTGAAGTGGCGATTTTGAGCCCGTTTTGGCCTTCTTCGTTTTGGTTTTCTAGGGTCCGCTTCTGATTGATTTACTCGATCATTGAGTAGGACCTGGCTGCAGACATCAGCTGGTGTGTCGAGAGCAAGATGGCGTGTCATTACATTTACCGGAAAATCGACGAGCGAAAGACATCGGCGGGAAGTTGGTCCTTTTTTGGCGGCGGCTACATTGTTTTTGTTTCAACCATACTCGGCGGGTTTCAATTGAGGAAAGGTAAGGATAATAAAGAAAGAAAGATAAGGATGAAATTAACTAATTGTTGCAACCGTTCTTAGTTCTTAAATGTAGGCACTATAGCGTTTAAAGCTTTACCAGAGAATTATTGCAAAGGCACCGTGTTTCATAGCTAATTGTATCAATATTAACACGCAGTCTTAAAACGAATGCAGGGAGTTCACAAGCTAGCTAACACAAAAGATACATAAATAAAGCTATCAGCAATTGTAGCTTAGCTTTAACTTAGCTATTTGATTTTTCTGGTCTCCCTGTTTGTTAAAACAGTTAAAGTAATAATATTAACTTTACATATAATTTAGATATGATATAAAGACCACGATTTCTAATACTGACTTGACTGAAACGTTATTAATACCCTTTTTTAATTAAAAAGCGTAGATTTTCAGAGATTTGTAAGTGGTTTCAATCACTAGTTTTCATACGAGGCTAAAGTTAGCTTCCGATTCGGGAAATGGCTAAAGGGCTAATACACCCAATTTTTCTCTACTCTGACCATTTTTATTCTGCTCTAGCTCAAAACCTACAACACATACACTCTTCAAACCTGTTTTAGATTATTCTGGGCTCGTAGGAATGCATAAAACATAGTTTGTGATTTGTGAAACCTTCCTCTGATTTGTGAAACTTCAAAAAAGACAGATTTATGAATTTATTTTTCAGCATCTGGCCCACACTGGAACTGGTCCTGTGCACCCAGAAATAAAATGTATTTTCTGGACAAGCTTAGCTTTCAATATCTCTAAATATTTTTCAGTTATTGTGTGTGGTGTGCTGGATCATTCTACTGTGGTTGCACAAATCAGGTGTCCTGCAACAGGTACAATAACTTTGAAATAGTAACCGCTTCTCTAATTAATGCCGCCCTCCTTCTGATTCTGTTTCAGAATAATCCTAACCTTATAAAAAATTGATATTTTTGTCGACTGACTGCTTTGATCGGGTTTGGTTTATATTAATATTACCGGATTTAAGCACATGTAGCTGCAAATCATTCAGGAGTTAGAGGCCTTAAATATAGATCTAAAATGAATATCGGACTTCTTCAAGTGACACTGACAAAACTCCTTACATGTGCTTGTATTCTTCATTTGCTAATAAGATGTATTTTTATCTAAATTACAGGACAATCGAGGCTTTGAAAAATGGAACCCAGGCAGTGATTTCAGATGGTGAAATCAAGGTAATGTTTAATTATAATAAATTAAGACTCTAAAATTGGACATAGGATAATGCAATCCCTTGTTTTCTGTGGTAATGTTGCTTATTTTTAACTCTTGTCTCTACTCAGACTGTCTGCAGCGGTGGAGTGAAGTCTGGCCTCATGTATCTGTGGCACAATCCAGGTGTCTCGCTTAAATTAAAGCAAAGACTAAAGCCACTGATGTTCCACTTTGCTGGTGCACAGGTAAATGTATACTGACTTACAATAACCTGCATCACATTTATTTATGTGGATGCGTGGTCAGTGGGCCACCTGGGTCCGTTGTCTAATGCTGAGAGGAATGTTTTGTTCATTTTTATGTTAACGTGTTTTATAGGTTGACGAGCTGACAGAGCGGACTGGTTCATGCTCAGGAATAGATAAACTAATAAAGAAGAGAGAGTTCCAGTTTCTGGACTTGGTGTTTGATGTCCTTGTTCCAGAGGTACAACGCAGTCTTCAGCACTGATTGGTATAAAAGTTACTTTTCGAAAACATTTGACAGTGTAAGAAGTAATCCTTAACAGAGTTTGGTGGCAGGAGAATCTCGTCTCTGCTTTTTGCGGATGATGTGGTCCTCCTAGCTTCACCCAGCTCTGACCTTCAGCTCTTGCTGGGTAGGTTCGCGGCCGAGTGTGAAGCGGCTGGGATGAGGATCAGCACCTCCAAATCCATGGTTCTCGACCGGAAAAGGGTGGCTTGCCAACTCCGGGTCGGGGGAGAGGTCCTACCTCAAGTGGAGAAGTTTAAGTATCTCAGGGTCTTGTTCACGAGTGAGGGTAGGAGGGATCGGGAGATCGACAGGCGGATTGGTTCAGCATCTGCAGTGATGCGGACGCTGAGCCGATCTGTCGTGGTGAAGAGGGAGCTGAGCCAGAAAGCCAGGCTCTCGATTTACCGGTCGATCTACGTCCCAATCCTCACCTATAGTCATGAGCTTTGGGTAATGACCGAAAGAACGAGACCGCGGATACAAGCGGCTAAAATGAGTTTCCTCCGTAGGGTGGCCGGGCTCAGCCTTAGAGATAGGGTGAGGAGCTCGGACATCCGGGAGGGACTCGGAGTAGAACCACTGCTCCTCCGGATCGAAAGGAGTCAGATGAGGTGGTTTGGGCATCTGGTCAGGATGCCTCCTGGATGCCTCCCCGGGGAGGTGTTTCGGGCAGGTCCTGCCGGCAGGAGGCCCCGGGTCGACCCAGGACACGTTGGAGAGGTTACATCTCCACTCTGGTCCGGGAACACCTTGGGGTCCTGCCGGAGGAGCTGGTGGAGGTGGCCGGGGAGAGGACGGTCTGGAGCTCCCTAGTTGGGATGCTGCCCCCGCGACCCGGACCCGGATAAGCAGAGGAAGACGACAACGACAACGATGAAGTAATCCTGCATGTTTTTCAGGTAACAATAAAAGTGTTGGAAAAATGGGAGGGGATGAATCGATATGCAGCTGAGAAAGCCATGCTTCAGCAAATTCATTTGTACCCAAAATAAAATGGTTGTGAAATTAAGTGTTTCTTTGGTTTTATTGTCTTTCACTCAAAATAAATACCAACTAGCTAAATAGTTATCAGCTGTAGTAGTTAAATTCTGTTGCAATGAGCTGCTGTGATACACAATAGGACAGTGTTATGGATATTTAATAACTAATTTTTGTTGCTGGTGAGAGAGGAGTGTTGCTGAAATGTTTTTCACTGCTTCTGGGAGTCCTGTACTTTAGCAATTGGTGTAGGTCAAAAGTTCATCTTGGGATTAACAATAAAACTGAATATTTAGCCAGTACTATTTTGTTTGCACATTTTGAAGTCTTAGTTTAATGTGTTTTCATTTTTTCCATATGTTTTTTTAATTCACTTTACAGCCTTTTATTGTGTGTGTGTATATATACATATATATATATATATATATATATATATATATATATATATATATATATATATATATATATATATATATATGTATATAAATATATATATATGTATACATACATATATATATATATATGTATGTATGTACTACTGTCATAAAAATTCCCTGTCTGAAGGACAAAGGGATTTAATATTCAATTTTCATGCAACGCAGGTAACGTTACTTAAGTTTGCCAGTCCAGATCTGAAAAGAAAAAAAAATCCGAAATAAAAATCTTTTTCCGGTAAGTTTTGTTTTTTAAAAAACTACTTCCAGTGAAAGTAATGACTTCTGGTTAAGGTAATGACCCACTGTGTAATTTTTCTCTTAAATATGTACAAATCGAAGAGAAAAACGACACGGTATGGTTTTGACAAATTCAAACTACTTTTGTGCTTTGTCAATAAAGCGTATTCAAGAAAAAAAACTACTTCCGGCAAAGGTAATGACTTCCGAAAAAAACTACTTCCGGCAAAGGTAATGGCACTCATTTTTCCGGATACGTCATTTCCTGTCACGGCAAAGACGCCAGCTGATGTCTGCAGCCAGATGCTCTTGCGATCATTTTCCGCACAATCATCTCGAAACTCATGGGAAATTGCTCAGAAGGGATGGGCGATCAAATAGAAAAAATAAAACTGACTTTTTGTTTATGCTGAGGGGGCGTGGCCAGGCCTCGAAGTTTGACTACTTGCCAAAAATATATAAATGGCTATAAGTTCATAGTCGAATAGAGTACAGTTACAAACATTTCTGTGGTCATTCAACATCCAGCCACAAACTAATTGAATGGTCGAATGATGACATCACGCAAGCCCCACCCCCTCAGGACCAAAAAGGTCAAGTTTACTGTGATAGGTCCCATATCGCCCATTTCACTTAATCACTACAAATTTGTAGCTGGTAACTCAAGACAAGTGGGGGTTTCTTGGCGTCACTTTATGGGAGTTTTCAAAAGAGGGCCGGGTACTCTGACTCTTTGATTGTACATCAAAACAAGAGTTTTCAAAAGTAAGGCGTACCGCCGTGACTATATGTTTGCCCCCCGTTTCGTCATTTCTAAAAATATCACCACAAAAATTCTGGTGAGTGATCCTAGTCCGGCCCCCCAAAAAATCTGATGTGAAAATCTGGTGGGCGTGGCCTATTTTCTTAAATAGCTCCCCCTAGGACCATTAAAACTGTCAGCCCCGAGCCGTGCTTTGACTGAAGATTACGAAATTTGGTACACTAATGTAGTGTCTCAGGACCTACAAAAAAGTCTCTTGGAGCCAAGTGCAAAGTCGCACATGTGGTTTTCGCACACGTTGTTTGGAGAATGATGCCCCTTCGCCCTTTTCATTGATCACCTTCAAACTTCTGCTATATACTCTTAAGACATAGGGGAAATAATTCAAATGTCAGGTTTTTCAAAAGTTGAAAGGTGTGGGCGTGGCTAAGCCTCAAACTTTGACCTGTCTCCACTTCACTCTTTTTTTTCACAGCTCCCTATAGGACTCCTTTCACCCAATCACCAGCAATCTCAGGCAAATAGCAGTAGACAAGTTGAGGTGACTTGGTCTCCAGTACTGGCAGATTTCAAAAAAAGGCAGGGCTTTGGGAGCATGGCGAATTTCGCCATCACGCCATGGAAATATGTTTGCCTCTCATTTCCTCAGTTATCATGATATCATCACGAAGTTTCTGGTGAGTGATCCTAGTCTGACCCCCAACAGAAATGAATGGTATAGGTTGGTGGGCGTGGCCTATTTTCTGAAATAGTGCCCCCTAGGACCATTAAAACTCTCAGCCCCAAGCCATGCTTTGACAGAGGATTGCAAAAATTGATACACTAATGTAGTGCCTCAGGACCTACAAAAAAGTCTCTTGGAGCTAAGCTTAATGATCCACAGGAAGTCGGCCATTTTTGTCCAAGTACTCGATTTAGTAGTTTTTGCACACATAGTTTGGAGAGTGATGCCCCATCACCCTTTTCACCAATTGCCTTCAAACTTCTGCTATATACTCAGGAGACATAGGGGAAACAATTCAACTGTCGGATTTTTCAAAAGTTGAAAGGTGTGGGCGTGGCTAAGCCTCAAACTTTGACCTTTCGCATTACACTACTTGACGTAATGACTCCCATGTGCATGATCAGACTATATCAAACTTTGTCTGTGTGATCACTGACCACATCTCAAGACAATGACAATGTGGACAGCTGACATCACCTAAGCCCTGCCCTCTGACAACAGGAAGTCTATTGTTTCATGGTGAAATGCCCATATTTGTCCCCTCTAATTTAGTCTTCATGACACTAAGGTCATGCACTGTCTTTCTGATGCTGTAATGACATTCAGTTCTGATAGCTTTCCAGAAAGGGAGGGGCTATGATGCCATGGTGAATTCTGGCATGACGCCGTGACCTTACGTTCGATTGTAACTTCCACAAACAGTCTCCGATCTGCACGAGACTGAACATGGTAATCAACAATCATGCCCTTTAGCCGATGAGGAAAAAATGGTTGGTGAACAATGTATGATATCACCACAGAGCCCCCTACATACCTTTAAAACTGTAATAAATCCCACAGACGAGGTCACAACTGCACCAAACTTGCTATGTGTCATCACACAAAGACACGCAACACAATCCTGTGGTCATTGGTTGATATCGCTTTAGCTCCGCCCCCTGACAGATGTTAGGCCCTGAATAACACATGCATAATGCAATTCACACCAAACTACACACAAATGATTGTTGTCAACCTACAATCTGCTCCTTGGGATATTTTCCTAAATTTGGGACAGCGCCCCCAGATACATTAAAACCTTTGTAACTTCTACAAAAATGCTCCAAACTATATCAAATATAGTGGGAGTCATCACGCAACTGCAATCAACACATGTATGTGCTTACTCGTTCAAATCACTTTAACTCCGCCCACTTACAGCCTTTTGGCTCTAGATGACCCATGCAACTTTTGATTGATGCCAAATTAACAGAAAACCATCTTTGATGGCCAAAGATGACCTCTATGGGATTTAGTTGTAAATGGTCACAGCGCCCCCTAGATAGGTTCAAACATGTTTAACTTCTAAAGACAAGGTCAGAATGGCATTATACTTGGCTTGTGTCATCACGTGACTGCACCAAACACATTGATGTGGTTAATGGTTCAAATCCTTTTAGCTCTGCTGCCTTTCAGCTCTCTGACTCTAGAAAGCAAACGCAACGTCTGATTTATGCCAAACTAATACAAAACCATCTTTGACTCCCTAAGAGGACCTCAATGGCATTTTTATGTAATTGGTCACAGCGCCCCCTAGATAAGAATAAAAGTTAATTACTTCCTAATACAAGGTCAGAATGGCATTAAACTTGGCTTGAGTCATCACGTGATTTCACCAAACACATTGATGTGGTTGTTGGTTCAAACTCCTTTAGCTCCACCCTCTTTTGGCTCTCTGGCTCTAGATAACACACACAATGTCTGATCGATGCCAAAATATCAGAAAACCATCTTTGACAACCAAAGCTGACCTCAATGGGGTGTTTCTGTAGTTGGTCACAGCACCCCCTAGATAAATTTAACCTTCAATAACTTCAAGAAACATGGTCAAGAATAGCATTAAACTTGGTCTGTCATCACACATACAGTGTGGTGAAGATAGAGTATCCCCTAGTGGTTAGATGTGTAATTAAATGGTGGGCTCAAAGGAGATGCTGAGTCAGGGTGAAGTGCAGACGAGGAGACCGTTCGCAATTTCTGGTGTCGGGGTAGTCAACATTTCTGTTATGCGGGCATGCCCGGGCGCCCCAGGCTGCTGGCCAGGCCAGAGTGGCGTGGAGCTGCGTGGAGCTGCGTGGAGCTGTGAGGGCCAAACGGCGCTGCTTGCAGCTATAATTCTGATTATTCCTTTACTCATTAAATGTATTATTTTTATTTTGTTTCACAATTTTGTCTTGAATAAATAAGATCAGTTTATAGTTTGAGTGAACATTGTGGCAGAACTTGTGGCTGAGGTTGACCAGTACTGGCTAGATATAGTCGAACTCACCTCGACACATAGCATTGGCTCTGGAACCCAAGTCCTTGATAGGGGTTGGACACTCTCCTTTGCTGGAGTTGCTCCGGGTGAGAGGCGGAGGGCTGGAGTTGGCCTTTTGTTAGCCCCAAGACTCTCTGCTTGTGTGTTGGGGTTTACCCCAGGGGACGAGAGGGTAGCTTCCCTGCACCTTCGGGTCGGGGAACGGGTCCTGACTGTTGTCTCTGCTTATGGGCCAAATATCAGTTCAGAGTACCCATCCTTTTTGGAGTCCCTGGGACGAGTGCTAGATAGTGCACCATCAGGGGACTCCATTGTCCTGCTGGGGGACTTCAATGCTCACATGGGCAATGACAACATGACCTGGAGGGGTGTGATTGGGAGGAATGGCCCGCCTGATCTGAACTCGAATGGTGTTTCGTTATTGGACTTCAGTGCAAGCCGCAGTTTGGCCATAATGAAACACCATGTTCGAACATAAGGATGCCCATTGGTACACTTGGTACCAGGGCAGCCTAGGTCGCAGGTCGATGATGGACTCTGTAGTCGTATCATCTGACCTGCGGCCATATGT